AATGCAATAAGTAGTATAATTAAATATCAATTAATTTCCATTTAAACATACCTATTCATCATTTTTCCCAAATAAATAATTATATGATTACAACATAAGGAAGACATGATTAATAATTGTTAAGACATGCAAAACATCCAAAATTCCTCAAAACAAAAAACAGTTTTAAGTTAATTAATTAATTAACCCTCCTTATACAGATTTTCTATTTAACTTAGAATATATCATGCTTCCACATAATATCATTAACAAGCTTCCCAACAATTTATACATCTCTGGAAAAATTATACAGATCATCTACATCCCCGGAACCAACCTAGAAACCTCCCTACAGTCTAAACTGAAGGCAGAACGTGGAAAAATCAAAAAACAAAAGAGGAGCCGCCTCCATAAAGAGTGGAGCCGCCTCCCCCCTTGGTGGAGCCGCCTCCACCACAAGTGGAGCCGGCTCTACCCCTTGTAGAGGCGGCTCCACCCTTGTGGTGAGCCGGCTCTACTCCCTTGTGACCCCCCTGTGACCCGTTTGCGCGTAGTTTGATCATCTTCTTCACCTCCGGTGGGGTTCAGAGGCTCTGTACAATTTTTATAACTTATTCTAGAGTTCAATTGATGTCCTAGAATTAATTAAAATCATGCATTCATTCCAAGACACATAAGGCTAACAAGTTTAAAAGCCCATGCAAACAGATTCTTAACAGAGCAACTTCCTACACACAAAATAGATTCATACAACGATTTAACAGTCGATTCAACCATGCTTCCAAGATTGATATTAACTTCAATTTAATCTGTTTTAATGCTTAATTCATCCCTGGAGTCTAAATAGGCATGCACAGAACACGAATTAAAGGGAAAGAGAAGAATAGTGACTTGCCTTGAGTTTTAGTTTTGAAACTCTAAACCACTGTCTTTGAAACTTCTGTCCACGTCTGAGACTTCTGTTCTACACCTCAGGTGCTCTTGGTTCAACCCAGAAGCACTCCGTCCAGTGTATCCTTGAACCTCTCCGATAACGTCTTAGTTTCCACTCTCTGTATCTCTATATCTCACGGTATAAGTATCAGTGAATAGGGTATTGTTTTATAACCCTAAGCCAACGTATAATACTGTATTTATAGGCTTCAACACAACCCTAATTCTAATACAAAACCAACCCTAAGTCGGCTACATCCGTGTAAATAAAACCCTAATATAAAAACAATAGGCACGTCAATAATTAATACAAATAGAAACAAAAGGCCAGTTAATAAAATAAAAAAAAACAAATAAACAAATAAATAAAAATAAATGCAATTTAATCAACACAATAATAAAACAATAATCAACACAATAATAAAAACAATTAATCCAATAAAAAAACAATTAAATCAAAAATAAAATACCAAAAATATCCTTTTAAAATTAGGGGATTACAAGAATCATTCACATACTTATTCTTATTTGACGAACACATCAATGAATTGTCATCATCAAAAAGGGGGAGATTATTGACCTTGAATCAAAGTCTTTTGATGATCATAATTCATTAATGACATTCTATGATTATTAATGTCTTCTTGAGTGAAATTACAGAGCAAAGCATTCATCAAAACAAGCACTACAACACAAGGACAAAACTGAAGAAGCAACACCAAGGAATGAGCAAAGGACTAAGCAAACAAAAGTCAAAGTCAAGTCATCACAAGACATCAAAATAGGGTTAGCTAGGTTGGTGAGTTTCTTAGGAAGCTTTGTTAAAGTGTATATGAACATCTTGAAGCTTAAACTCTTCATCACTATGCATATCATCTCATTCACCATGACTAAGGAACAAAGGACTTAAGTATATCCTTATCTGAAAATGAACCAAGAGTTAGGATCAAAGCTTCAAGTTATTTCGGTCTACCGAAATAAATCATTGTCTCATTTCGATCTACCGAAATGAATATACGGATCCAACTAATAGTTATTTCGGTCGACTGAAATAACTGAGAGATCACTTCGGTTTACCGAACCTAGAGTACTGAGAGTATGATATTCAAGCTTGAATCATTTCGGTCGACCGAAACAAAATGAGGCTTTACTTCGGTCTACCAAAACAAGAGTACTGAGAATATGATATTCAAGCTTGAATCATTTCGGTCGACCGAAACAAAACGAGACTTTACTTCAGTCTACCGAAACAAGAGTACTGAGAGTATGTGTCCAACCTCAAACCATTTCGGTCTACCGAAACACAAGGGTATTTCATTTCAGTCTACCGAAACTGCGTGTTTCAAAATTCAAACGGGCATTTTATTCTTGGGATGTGTGTCCAACAGCTATATTATTATCAGACATGTTTAAAAGTCTATAAAAATTCTTCAGAACTTCATTTAAAGGTTGTTGCATACATTGAGAAAGTGAGTCTTGCAATCATAAAGCTTTTATCATACACACATACTTCATTTCATCAAAAGAGTATTGAGCTTCAAGTTATTCATACATACTTTAGAGTGAGTTAAATCTTGTACTTCAGATCTGAGAGAGAGATCATCTTGTATTCCAGCAATATATTTCAAAACTTGTAAGGGCTAGTGTGGCCCAAGGAAGACTAAGAGAAGGTGTTTCTCTTAGCACCTAGAAGCTAGGAAGAGCTTCTTGTAAGAGGTTTACTCTCCACCCACAAGGAGAAGCCATAGTGAATTGGGAAGTCTCAAGAGGAGTCTTGAGCCGAGGAGTAGGAGTTTCTGAACCTCGCTAAAAATCACTGAGTACATGTTTGCAACTTTTATCTCTATCTCTATACTTATTGCTTTATGTATGTCTTGATATGCCTCTTCATTAATGCTGACTATTGGAGCTTAAAATTCAGATTGCATTATTCATTATCTGTCAAAGAAATTGAGCTTGTATTTAATTAATACTTTAAGATCGATAATTGACCATAATTTGCATAGACTCTATTCACCCCCCCTCTAGAGTCTAAACTTGGGCAACAATTGCACTACAAGAAATCAATCATTCTTTGTTACCTAACAGATTATTATCACATTCACAACCAGGACAAGCTTCTCAATAATCATGTGATTCAGATTAAAGCCCCGTCTCTCCTCTACTCTCTCGCTTTCTTCCAGGAGTTAGAGTGGTGGATTTCTCACGGATACATACATACATACATACATATATATAACTTGGCAACTTTGCCTTCGACATCTTGAAGCCGATTTTTAAGAAGCTGGATCCCTGCGTACATAGCTGTAGTTGCATTAGAATTCAATATCAATAAGCACCTCTACAGGCTTTACTTTTTACATGATGAATGTGCAATCCACATTTTGAAAAAATATATATATATATTTTGTTTCAATTATAATTGCACTTGAACAATGTTTATAGTCAAACATGAATCCTGCATTTCTTGGAACTAGTTAATTTGACCCCTGTACTAATCAATAAGTCTTAAAAGTTCAATTATCAGATATTGTATGAGAACTAAAAAGGTTCCCCTAACAATTTTTTGAAATTTAGTTATCAAATTTATCAAATCAAAGATCATATTAAGTTTGTGCTTGAAATAAAGCCATGGTTGGATAAACCACATAATTTCTTCTAATCGTAATTGAGAAGTCCATCTTTCCCAAAAAATAAATCAAATCTTGTCTTGGAGGTGACATTTTTATGAAGGATGTATAAGTCTGTTTCTATTGTGCAAAGTTGTGATATTCTAGCCATTTTTAACTTTGGTGACTCTAATTCAGACACTGGTGGACTGGCTGCAGCCTTCAATTGGACCAACCCGGCAACCCACCTTATGGAGAAACCTTCTTTTACATGCTATATAAAGGCAAGAAATGTAAGTGTACAAACATCATTATTATAAAAAAAAATTCAGTTTCTCTTATGAGTGTGTTCTTTGTGATAGTTACCGTTACGTTAGTTGGTATCAGAGCAAGGTTCCGAATCCAAGATTCGCTTTTGTTTTCGATGGTCGGTTCATGAGATAGATGCAACCCCTCTAAGCTCCAACGATGGAGATCGTGATGGAGTAGCTCTTTTGAGGGCTGAGTTTACGGAGTTCCAGACCAACGCTAATCGAACCTTGATATGTATGAAATTATGCATCAAGTATTAGCAAAATTAAGGGTAGATGTAGGGATGAGCTCTGGTGGGCTTGAGCCCACAAGAAAAATTTACTATACTTATTTTGGCCTAGCCCATAAAAAAAAAAATTATTAATAGCATTAGCTCATCCCAAAATTAGCCCACCCAATCAAACCTAAGTTAACTCAGCCACCATACTAAAGCCCAGGCTGACAAAGGCAGTCCCCAGTGCCTTAAAATTTATAAGGCCCATGGATGATCAGCCTCCAGGAAATAAAAAATATATATTTTTAGGGCAAATCATTTCAGCCTCCCCAATCGTCTCCATCTCCCTTTCGTAGTTGTCGAAGCGGTTTTTTGGTTGGAATCTTTTTTTTCATTTTAAGGAATTGGTTAGTTGTCGAATAACAAGTAATAGTAGTAGATAGTTTTCGATGAAAGAAAGAGAACAAAGAATAAAATAATTGTAATTAGTATTCGTGATGCATTATTGTAGTTCTGGATCTAACTACAAGGATGAGGCTTTTTAATATGGATATGTTCTCCAATCTTGACTAGCCCTCTTTCCCTATGCAACTGCAAACTGCAAACTGCAAAATCTACAAGAATCAGAAGTCCAAAACCCATATATTTCAGTTTATCTGTCTGTATGAAAGAATCAAAATATTTTTAGGCCAAATTATTTCAGCCAACCAGTCAAATGATCAAAACTCCAAACCGGAATGCCATTATCTCTACATCCGAATCAAATCAGCCAAATCCTGCAATTTCAGTACTAATCCTTCTTTTTGGACCAGTAAATTTGACCAATCCTTCTTTTTGACGAGTAGGTTTAACCAAACCTGCTTTTTAGGGCAAATCATTTCTGCATCCCCAGTCGCCTCCATCTCTATTCTCGTTCTCAACTCAGAACTTCCCCCCCCCCCCCCCCCCTCTTTTTCTCTCTCTCTCTCTTCAAATGCAAACTACAAAATCTACAAGAATCAGAAGTTCAAGACCCATATTTTCAGTTTATCTCTCTGTCTGCAAGAATCAAAAGTTCAAATCCCATATCCGCATATCATTTCAGATTCTTCAAAAAATCAAAACCCATATCTTTCAGTTTCCATCACCCGCTGTTCCAGTTCGGGTTCGCCGTTCGCAAGCTTTAGCCGCTGTCTCTCAACTCTCAAGCTTCCCCCCCTCTCTGCAACTGCTAACTTGTATGTATGGGTTTTGTTTTAATTTTTTTTTTCTTTCTAATTCAACTAATCAAGCTCTGTAATTCTTGTTTTGCAAAATTAAATCCTATTTGGTGAAATTTTTTATGATCTTTTTTATATAATTTTTTTTTTTTACTATATGAAGTAACAAATTTTTTTATAATCTTTTTTATGATCTTTTTTATATGATCTTTTTTATATAATCCATTTCTGCATCTCCTCCGTCTATATAATAATACACATATATACCTCTCGACTCTGTGTTGCTTCATTTTCTCTTTCGTCTCTATTTTTTTTTGTCTCTGTTGCAAATATCAGTCCTCTCTCTAGTCTATACCCTGCCCAAGGATCATGCCTCGTCAGTCCTCTGGTAAGTAACATGACGACTTCTACTACTACTTCGTTTAGGTTTTTTATCTACGGATTTTATATGCCCAAAAAATTAACACAAGTTATTGAGTTCAAAGTAATTGAACTTCCAAAATGTATAGAACTTCAGTAACAAATTTAAGTTTTCTCATCATTAATCCTGTGATTATAGGTATACTTGTTGGGAAGAAAGCTCAACCGAAGTGAAGTGAGTGGTATCGGAAAAATATTGGTACATTCCTTGAACATCTCTTCATTTGTTTTGTGATTCGATCTATACAAGTTAGTGGTATAAGATTTATTGTTTTCATTATCTGTGCACATGCATTAGGGGGTTTTTATACATTCCTCTCACTCGTGTTCTAAATCTATCTAAGGCTTAACACTGTCAATACAATAGGATTTTCACTGTTCAGAACAATATTAGGTTAAATGAAAAAGGTAACGTCCATTTTTAATTGTTAATGATCTAATTTACCATTATTGTGTGAGAGTTTTTCTCCCTTCTTCTTTATAAATTCACACACCACACTTTCTTCATTCAATCCACACTACTACTACTCTGTTCTTATTCTATACACATCTCTCTTCTTTTGTGAGTAAGATTTATACTTTTTGTTTATAGGTTCTCATTCATTCTAGGTTACTCAATTGAATTCTCTTGTTGATCACTTTGATTTTTCTACGTTTTGTTTTTGATAATAATACTAATTAATTACTGTTTGTGTTCATGGAAAAGCTTGTGACATTGTTAATGTTGAGGGCCTTGTGGCTCTGAGTTTTTCCCTTGGCTTCATCGTTGTCTTTGCCAAAATCTTGCAATTTGATGCCTTCTTTAGTTATGTGAGCTGATCGTTCTTCCATTGTGTACTCCATTGATTTTGCTGGTACTGGTGACTTGTTCTTGTAGATGATATAGATGATCACCTGGTATGCGCCTAAAGCTATTCCGACTGCATTTGGTACCTGAAATCACAATAAAATATATATATATATATATATATATATATATATATATATATATCAACAGTGTGGTATTTCTTATGCTAAGTGTGTAGAAAAAATGTTGTATTAGACAACCTAAATTAACCAACAATTCTTAGGCCTTAGTTTTTTCATTAAAAAAAAAAAAAAAAAAAAAAAGAGGATTAGGGTTTTGTTAAGAGTAAGAATTAGGCCTTTAGGTTTTTTTCAAGTGGCTTTCTTGGGGTTTTTAAGGCATGGCATGGCACATATTTAAGGACTCGGTTTTGGAGTCCGGTTGACCTATCTTTCCTTCATGCATTGGGTCCTCTAGATTTAGGACATGATATTAGATGAAATCAATCTTATAATAATAATAATAAGGTTCATCTGTTTTTTTCTTATTGCACTTCCAAGAAAGGTTATCTTATTTTTTTATTACTTGCAGCGTTGTTGATGACCAGAGTGTCGATCGTATCGAATTGTTCAGAAGAAGGATGTAATAGTGTACCAATTGGTGACTTATGCCACTGTTGAAGAAGCTATTTACAAAAAAACAAGTTTAATACATACATTGTTGTACTTGTCTACACACTGTTTGGTATAGATGTCTTCCTTTTGTTTTTTTTTTTTTTTGTTACTTAAATTTCATGATATAGGTAATGAAAACTGGACTAGGCTGTTTAAATGTGTGACTGAAGATAAAGTATGGTATTTTAGTCTAAAGGTATGTTCTTAGAAATAAATTCTTTCTTTTTTTATAAGGTACTACATCTTGAAGATAAGTACACACAAAATACTTGATTTCAATTGATTCTTTCAGGAATCTGAAGATGTGTTTAGGCTCCCAAAAAGGGGTTTGGTGTTTCTGTTACGTGCTGCAAGCAGTGCACGGCCATCCACTTTTAGTTGAATTATATAAATCCCTTTACCATTGTAGCAGTGATGTTGGTTTTAAAATGACCAATTATGATAGGAAGTCTCTTTTCAGTTTATCTTAATCAAATGTATATGTATGCAACAGGATTACGTGATTCTAGATGAGGATGTTAATGTTCTAGTGATGACGACTGATGATGTGTTGATGAGGATGTTAATGACTTCTGTTGTATATGTGATGCACTCAAATTAAGTCTATTGTTTGAAAGCACTTATGCCTTTTCAATGTCCAGTTTGCACACAATCCCCAGAACACCACTTCTAATTTTGGCCTCCACACACTCACTAGCAACCAATATTGAATCCATAATCTGAGGACCACTAACAAAAGCATTCTAAGAATCCGAAATCACCTCATCTAAAACCGTCCTCAAACGGATGGCTAATATGTAGAGAAAATCTTATAAATGGTACCCATCAAGCTGATCGATCTGAAGTCCTTTGCATCGAAAACACCACTTTTCTTCGGGATAAGATCGATAAAAGAGGCATCAAGGTTTTTCTCAAAAACACCATATGAGAAGAAAGAGCTCCCATCACGTCGGGCTTAACCACCTCCCAATTGTGTTGGAAGAAAGCTAACGTAAACCCATCCGGCCTTGGGGCTTTGTCACCCTCACAACTCCTCAAGGCTTCCAATACCTCCTCCTCCCTGAAAGGCCTCTCAAGCCACTTTTTATCTTCACTCGATATTTAGTCAAACTCCAGACCATCCAGTATAGCCTATAGGTCTCCATGAAGCAGTTTCCATGAATAGGTTCTGAAAAAATACCACAAAACCAGCTCGTACGTCCTCATCCCTTGTATCCATATTACAGTCAAAACATATTCTACTGATGTGGTTTCCTCTTCTACGGGCATTAGCCAAGCGGTGGAAAAAACTCGTATTCTGATCACCTTCTGTTAGCCAAAGAGCTCTAGATCTCTGCCTCCAATAGATCTCTTCCATTATCACAATCTCTCCAAACTTAACCTTTCATTTTGCCCTCCTATTTGAGTCCGTAGCGCTAAGAAATCCTTTACCTTCCTTTTTATCAATGTCAGCAATTTCTTGAATAATTCTGTTTTTACGCCATATCAGATTACCAAACACTTCTTATTCCGCTTCTGTAAATTCCCCTTAAGCAACATAATTTTGGATGCAAGTGGAAAACTTGTGTTTCCCCTAACTTCATCCCATGTCCACCAGTAATGAACCCTCTCCTTGAAGTCCCCTAGTCTAAGCCACATATTCTCAAAACAGAACGGTGTTCGCCTTCTCCTTACCCCTCCACAATCGAGTAGAATAGTAATATGGTCTGAAACCACTCTTGCTAAAGCAACTTCCGACACATCTGGGAATTTCTTTTCCAATTCTATCGAAATAAAAAATCTGTCCAGCCGAGACAACGTAGGGGACTCCCGTCCACTAGACCATGTAAACTGCCCTCCCTCCATTGGAAGATCAAAAAGATGTTGAGCGTCAATGAAATCTGAAAACTCCTTCATCGCATGCGTCGATCTTCCTTTGTGGATCTTTCATTAGGCTTCTTGGCAACATTAAAATCCCCTCCCACACAGCACGGAGCTGTACATTTCCTTCTAGCAAACAACAACTCCTTCCATAACACCCTTCTATCCACATCCCTTACTGGCTCATAAACTCCAGAGAATAACCACTGCGATCCCATCTTCCTCCAGAGAGAATAAAATAGAAATAGATGATCTCCCCTTCCACATGTCAACCTTAGATACCCACCTTTTATCCCAGACGACCATAATCCCTCCAGCATCAATTACCTCCCTGTCCCCCCCCCCCCCCCCCCCACCCCCCACACACACAAACTTTTTAAAACTTTATCGGTAGGAGATGCAATTTTAGAACACCCCCCAATAATCCAATCAAAGCCTTTATGTGATTAATTTTCTGTATGGAATCTTGCGTGCCTTTGAATTTAATGCGTTTACATGATTTTTTTAGTGTGTCCTAGATAGTGTTTATACATAACAATGTTATAGTCTAAGAAGCACAGAAACAGATACGGGACACGACACGGTAAATTTAAAAAAATTAGGATACAGACATGGCGGGGACACGATAAATAATAAATTTATTTTAGATGTATATGATATTATACTTCAAGAAGTTAAGAGTAATATTAGTTTTTACCACCTCATAATGAAAAAAAAAAAAAATGTGTTTTGTTGGAAAAAGAAAGAATGATAGAAAGAGGGTTAAAAAAAAAAAAAAAAAAACCCAATGAAACAACTATTAGGGTTTTGTTAAGAGTTTCTTGGGGTTTTTAAGGCATGACATGGCACATATTTAAGGACTTGGTTTTAGAGTCCGGTTCACCTATCTTTCCTTCATGCATTGGGTCCTCTAGATTCTGGGCATGATATTAGATGAAATCAATCTTATAAATAATAATAATAATAATAATAAAGGTTCATCTGTTCTTTTCTTATTGCCTATGAAGCATGGACACTCCTCCCAAGGGTCACGTACCAGTGTCGAACACTTTTCGGACACAGACACGCGTGTCCGAGGCTCGGGCACATGTCCGATACTTCTGTGAAGTGTCAAAAAATGATTTTTTATTGGACACGGCTCGGACACGGGGTGGACATGGCTCGGACACGCGGGGGACACTGCGGGGTATATTTTGTAATTTTTTTTAAAGATAAATGGGGTACCTAATATAATTTATTAATTTTAGATTAAAAGTAAAATTTTGAAAAAATAAAAAAACAACTACAGACAAAAGAGTACTACACAATAAGTTTATTTTCTCTCACTTCCTCTCTCAGTCTCTCATCTTCTTCAATTATCTCTGTACATGAACAAGACATTTTTTATTTTGAAGTTAAATGAACAAGACTTTGTGAAAGACTGAAAGTATATGTTTATTCATGTACATATTTAGCCCATTATACCTATGTCTCTTCTGCACGTCTTCGTTTGGAATTTGGATCAACTTTATTTTTCATTTATTTTCTATTTTGTCTTGTCTATGTTTTTCTTATAACAGAGATGAAATTATTATGGTCTTGTTATTTGTTGTTGTTTTATTTGCAATTTTGTATTTATATATACCAGTTTGTTATTAGGAAAATAAATATGCAAAGTTCTAGTAATTATATTTTAAATATATGATTTTATATATATATATAATTTTATAGGCGTGCTGTGTCCGTATCCTATTTTTTAAAAATTTACCGTGTTACCGTATCCGTGTTCGTGTCCGTCCTTCATAGCTTATTGCATTTCCAAGAAAGGTTACAGTTTGACTCTGTCACAAGTGTTTTTATCTTATTTTTTTATTGCTTGCAGTTTTGATGACCAAAGTGTTGATCATACTGAATTGGTCAAAAGAAGGATGTAATAATGTACCGATTGGTAACTTGTGCCACCGTTGAAGGAGCTACTTACAAAAGTAGGTTTAATACATACATTGTTGTTGAAACTTGTTTGCTTATCGTTTATTCTCAATACACATTGTTTGGTATAGATGTCTTCCTTTTGTTTATTTTTTTGTTATGAGCTTGAATGCTTAAATTTCATGATATAGGTACTGAAAACAGGGTTGTTTAAAGGTGCGACTGAAGACAAAGTACAAATGCGGTACTTTAGTCTAAAGGTATGTTCTTAGGAATAAATTCTTTCTTTTTTTATAAGGTATTACATCTTTAAGATAAGGTACACTAAATACTTAATTTCAATTGATTCTTCCAGGTATCTGAAGATGTGTCTAGGCTCCCCAAAAAGGGGTTTGATGTTTCTGTTACTCAACAGGTGCTGCAAGCAGTGTACGGCCATCCACAGTCTATGTACTATGTGCATTTCAGTTGAAATTTATATTTCTTTAAGAGTTCTTTTTTCCCTTTTCTTTAATGTTCTTTAGTTTTGTTATAGTTAAATTGTTTATAATCAGGCTGGGCAATGGGTGGGTTTGAACCGGGTCAAAAAATGGTGGCCATATTTAACCCAATGAATCATTTTTATATAAAAAAAACGTAAAAGCCATTCTTTTTTTTTTTGATAAGTAAGAAGATGATCAACCGTTTTCTCGTCATTTTTGCACATAAAGCACAAGGAGCCCTTGCACGCCAAATTGCCCCCCATGGGAAGGATAGTCCAGAAGCATCAACAAGATAACAATAAAATGACTAAACATCAAAACGTCCATGTGCGGATGGAACCGAAATGCACAAATCAGAATCTTCCCCCGCTATTTCCTGACAATACAACAGCTCCAAAAAGTGTAATGTATCCCCCATACCCCTGCGAACATGAAGAAGTTGTTGTTATATTCAATCGTATGAAAATCTTAAACAAGTTACAGCAGTTCAATGTATTTATATGCCCTAACAAAAGGGGTAAAAGACTAAACTACCCATGTAAAAAGGAAAAGAGAAAAGATAATACAGTAACATAAATATTCTCTAACACTCCCCTGTAAACTCATTATATGACAGTGAGAAGCATCAATAGCTTGTGAGAGTTTGTGAAAAAGTCACCCAACTGCATAATAAAGGAGACGTATAGTAGAGAAATAGTGCTAAGCTGAAAATGTTGGCACACCAAATGACAAGCAAACTCAATATGTTTGGTACGTTTATAGATGACAGAGTTTAAGCAATTTGAATGACACTCTTGTTATCAAAAGTACAAAGAGTAGGAATAGAAAGAGGCACACCCATATGAGTAAGCAACCATCTGCACCTAGTTAACTCTGTTGTAGTATTGGCCATGGCCCGATACTCAGCCTCAGCAGAAGAACGAGCAACAACTGTTTGCTTCTTGTTTTTTAAGGAGATGAGATAATCACTCAGAAAAATACAGAAGCTTGTAGTTGACTTACGATCAGTTGGGTCACCAGCCCAGTTTGCATCAGAGAAAGCTCAAAGTTCCAAAATAGAGGTAGGCGGAAATAACAAACTTTTATGTAATGTACTTTGCACATAGCGTAAAATGCCAAGAACAGCATCCTAGTGAACAGTGGTAAAAGAAGACACAAATTGACTTACAATTTGTACTTCATACGTAATGTCAGTTGATGTAATGGATAGATATACAAAATTGCTAACTAGAACGCGATACAAAGTAGGATTACTCAATGGAACACCATCTGAGGAAATATAACGAATATTGAGATCCAGGGGTGTCTCAACTGTACGGGAATCCATGAAACAAGCTTTGCGTATAATGTCCACTGCATACCTGGACTATGAAAGAAGAAAGCTTTTGGGAGACTAGGCTACTTCAATACCAAGGAAATAACGAAGAAGACTAAGATCCTTCATCTAAAATTGTTGTTGCAACTGTGACTTTAAAAGGTTAATGCCATCAATGCCATTATCAGTCAAAATCATGTCATCAATGTATAATAGTAGAATAATATTTCCAGCAGAAGTAGAACAAAGAAAAAGAGCTGAATCATCATTACTGGAACGAAAGCCCAATCCGTAAAAAATTACTCAAACCAAGCTCTAGGAACTTGCTTGAGACCACATAATGCTTTCTTAAGTTTACACACCTCCCCAGGATTATAAGAAAGACCAAGGAGATGAACAATATAAACTTCCTTATCTAAATCCCCATTTAAGAAAACATTTTTGACATCCACCTGTGAAATATCCCACTTACGAACCGCTGCTATTGCAATTAATGTGCGAACCGTTGTCATTTTAGTAACAGGAGTAAATTTTTCTTCTTAGTCAATACCGTATACCTGAATGAATCCCTTTACAACCAGACATGCCTTGTACCTCTTAATAAAACCATCAGGCTCATTTTTATTTTATAGACTCACTTGCAACTAACTGCATGTTTATCTAGAGGTAAGGGCACCAAGTCCCACGTACTATTGTTATGAAGGGTATAGAGCTCTTTATCCATTGCCTTGTAATATTTCTATTTTTCACCATTTTTTATTTTTTAGAATTTTTCGATTTTGCGAGGGCATTTTTGTCTTTTCTAGTTTTGCATGCCGGACACCGTGAGGTGTGCCGGGTGTGTCCAAGAGTTAGTTGGGACATTCCATTGAGTTCAGGACTCTTGTAAAATGCATCAGCTGCCCTTTCGGCATTTTTTCATTTTTTGGGCTAGACGGTCCCGGGTGGGACCCGCTACCGGAATTGTCGCTTACAAGGGATTTGTTTGGGTCCATTTGCATATCAATCATTTTTATTTAGTGTGTTTCATGTGGTAATTTTATAATTTATATGCATATATGTGTGTGTGGTGGAAAAAGAAAAGAAAAGAAAAGTAAAAGATATTTTTCCCATTTTAATGGCCATAAGGCCATTTAGGCCTTAAATCTCTCTAATTCCCGGCAGCTCTCACTTCTCCTTTCCATTTTCCTTTTTTTTTTTTTTTTTTTTTTTTTTTTTTTTCATTCTTTTTTTCTTTTCTTTTTCTCAAGCCTTCAATCTTTAATTAATCTCAAACCGTATTTGTGGTGCCGTTTGCGGCAAATCGGAGAGCTTGACGAGATCTACGCATTGAAGTAAGCTATTAATCATTTGGTGCACCCTAGGAATTTCGAACCTAGGGCTTGGATTTGGGACTTTTTGCATCTTTGTGAGGTAGGAGTGTTTAATTAACAATTTCTTGGATTTTTGTAAGTTATTTTGTATAAATTGTTGCCAAGCATGCTTTGATTGTGTTGATATCCTTTAAAGTGACTAAATTATTGTATGTGAAGCTTATGATTATGTGTATTAGTTTATATTGTGTGAGAAAGCATACTAAAATGTTTATATTTCATGTCAGTTGTGTTATATGAGCTGAAATTTGTGACTTAGAAGCATGAGGTAGAATTTTAAAGATTTATATAAAGCATGTATATTGTGGATAGTTGATTTGAACGGAATCAGATTTCTTGTTGGCATGACATTTAAATGTATAAAATATTTATGCACTCATTGGGAAGAAAAAAGGAAATTGGCTTTGAAAGAAATGAAATGGGGATTCTGAGAAATGGTTTTGGAAATGGGGAGTGACATTGCATAACATTGCATCCCATTTCATTGCACATTCATTCTTGACTTGGGTTGTTAATATTGTTATTGTGGCTATTTTATCCCCTACAGAGCATGACCCCAATTACTTTGTTTTCTTCATTGTTTGGATTCACGGGGACTCAAGAGGTATGCCTTAGGCACCTTTTATTGAGCTTTTAGCTTACCCCATTATTTAACATTTTTCAGGTTCGGGAAAAGGTATGGCGGATGACAATCCACCACAGCTCTAAGAAGGATTTGGGACTTTTGTTTATTGCCTTTTGCATGTAATTAGGAACAAAGCTCCATTTATAAAGTTTAGGCATCATTTGCCAAAGTTGTATATTTTGAACCTTTGTAAAACCTTGATTTTGCTTCAAAATTTGTAAACTTGTTATAATGATAGTTTTACACCTGTAAATCATTTCTTTTGATCATATATTGTGTATATAAACCTTTTATTTCAAGTGAATGGAAAGTAGCTTCATCATTTCAAAAATCCAATAGCAGGTCCATAGCTCGCAGAGCTACTTCGGTTAACCGGTTCTTTTCATAGCCTCAAGACTTTGCATTTCGGCTGATCGAAAAGGGGATTTCGGTTTACCTATTCAAGGGACATCTCAGAGGCCATTTCGGCCGACCGAAATGGAGCTGTTTTAGTCTCTTTGCTCCTTCCTTGGTTCATTTTAACCTCAATCCTTAGAAAGTTGATTTAAATCGTTCTTGAAGCTTATTTAAGACTTAATGACGATGTGTTGACCCTAGACATGATGGAGTTTGACTTAGGTGACCTCGGGTTCGGGTAAAGACCTGGTTAACGGTTCGGACCCATGGGTTCGGGTCGTTACATATTGCCAATGAGAATCAAGAAGAACCTCATTACAGGAAATAGGTTCACAATAAGAATCAATAATTGCCAAAAAAAGGAACAAAAATATAAAGAACAATAAGAATTGGAAAAACCAAAACAATCAGGACACTTGCGTACTCTTAAGGATAACAAGGACGTATATGATCCCAATAGAGAGTCAGCCGGAAGAAATGGAGATGTTGATAGTTTTATTTATGCGAGTGTAAGTGTGAATGATAGGAGAAGGACATCAAGAGTAGATAGGAGAAGATGGAAAATCTAAAACAGTACTAGGACTACCATTGGATCATTTTAAAGAAGATCGGGTTTACTCAAAGCGGTTGAATTAGCAGGAATAGAGAAGAAAGGAATGCATTCAAGGAATGCTACATGACGAGACAAATATAATTTTTAAGCAAAAAGATCATAACAACGATATCCCTTTTGACCTTCACCATAACCAAGGAAAAAACACACAGCAGAACGAGCAGAATAACAGATAATTTTGTGCGAGCAACTTTAGAAACAAAAACAAAGCAAGTGTAACCAAAAATTGCATTTGTTAAAGCCAACTCTAATTTGTTATTGCCTACTGTGTGTATTAAAATGAGGCTTAGATGGGACTGCCAAAATAATCTAACTAGGTAGGGCAAGGACTCCTTTGCTTGGAGCAGCCTTAAGACAAACTTATTCTACCAATAGTTCATTGACAACTGAATCAACGGAACGAAGCGGACTCCGATGAAGAATAAAACCATAAAGACCCTCAAAGTCATCTCTAAGATAAGAACTGAACTGTAACGACCCAAATCCGAGGATTCGAAACGTTAACGGGGTCTTAACCTTAACTCAGGAACACAAGGGTAATATGGTCATTTAATATTATAGCGTTGGTTAATTGTCATGACATGGTAGTTTGGTCATTTACAATGGTTACCAGATAATTATTGTGATGTCTTGGGCCAAATGTAAAATTTAATACATGTTTTTTATAGGTCAATTGAATAAATTACCCAAGTTAAGAACAAAATAAATAAATAATTATGTGATAAATAAATAAATAATAATAATAATAATAATAATACAACGTGATCGATCGTAGCCTGACTCACGATCGATTGCAACCCAACACTTAGATTGCGTCCCAACTTATAATCGATCGCATAACCAAAGTGTGAAACAACCCAAAATCTCAGCTCTCTGCCAATCGATCGCGTCCCAACTTGCAATCGATCGTATAACCCAAAGTGTGAAACAACCCAAAATCTCAGCTCTCTACCAATCGATCGATTCCACGGTATATAGGGGACTTACGAGTTAATATTCAAGATATACTAAGTCAGCAAGATATTTGGAATGTTTCTCAAGCATATCAAGGTGCCAAAGTCGCAGAAATTCAGCAAGCAAGAGGGACACACAGAGCACCA